GAAATAGTTAATAAGTATATAATTTTATATGTCCAGCTGCATGTTGAAGTAGACTAGTTCAGCTAAATCAAACAAGTCCCAAAAATGAAAATAATGAAAAACTATATCAATGAAGTGTATACATGAAAGAGCATACTTAAATTTTTATTTGAACATATGAAATCTGCCACATACCAAGCTCTATATATCCAGTGCAATATTGCCAGATTGCATGAAGTTTTCAAAATCTTTTTCTTAAGTCCTCAGTGAAATGAGAAAAAAAATTATAAAAACAATCATTATACAAATAGAAAATATAAATGTACAAATACAAAATATTAAAACAATCACTAAATAAGCTGTACAGCTTACTGGATCCCTTTGTGTCAAAGGGATCCAAACTACGAATCATTTCATGGAAACACAAATGGCTTTCACTGAATCCAAGGGCCTCAACCTAGAAACCACAATATTGCTATTCAGTACAAGAAGAGCTAATAACAGGTAACTGGCCTATAAAATGCCTATGACAGGAATAGTTTATTATCGTGATCCCTTCATAGTTGAGGGAAGTCCTAACCTTTGTTTTGCTCCATCCAGACAAGGGAAGTCAGATTTGCCTACTCATCTTTGCTGCTACAGCCAGGATGCTGCTGCAGAATGATACAGTCAGAACACTAAGCACAGGAGCATCTACAACCACAGTGTGGCTTTAGTCCATACTGTGCACTTATCTTAGTCCATACATGTGCATTTATCTTGACCTGCTACTCAAACAGGACTTAAATTCTCATGTATCTCAAAGAAATTACATAGTATTAAGGACATTTCTATAACTAGCCTCTGGAATTTTAAAGGACAGGTCCAAACACTGAAGTGATATAAGGGACACAGATGTAAGAGGTCTACTATGGAAGGAGGAAAAAAAAGAAGAAAGGGACAGAATAGCCTCAGTACAAAATTACTACAAGACTGCAATATCAGTTGTGCCCCTTCAGCTTTGAGGTACATTCCATTTATTCAGTCCTTTCCCTTGATTACTAGTTCCATTACTTTTTTCCTCTTCATTACAAAACCATAGTCCTGTCTCTTGACAGAAACTTTCCTTGGTCAACCAATTTCAATAATCCAGGAAGCAGTTTAGTCAGTATCACTTTAACAAGGTGCTAAAAACTAGTATAAATAAGTAACTAAGTAGTAAGTAAAATAAGTAACTTAAGAATTTAATGGTCATTTTCAGCTTTCAGTTGCAAATTCAGACTTATCTGCATCTCTGTCTTCAGCAAGCACCTCCAGGATGTAAAAGCATTTTGACTGAAATAATCAGAGCCTATCCAACGTTATTTCACCTCTTCTTTATGGTTACAAAATTGGAGTTGCCAAATCACTCCGTCCTTAAAACAGCACCTATATCAGATGTGTTATTGGCTAGATCATAGGCTACCTATAATACCATCATCCATTTTCTCTCATTTTTCAATTTCCCTCATTCCTTCTTCACCAGTCAGTACAATTTCTGAAATAACTAATATTCACTCAAATAGTCCTGCTAATTCTTTTTTTCCTGACAGCTTCTTCACAAATATCTGTGTCTTAATCAGACCATTTTCTCTGTGCCCCCTAGTTTGTACTTTATTTCAGATGCCACAGAAGAAGTGTTCCCGCTTTAATTTTTTTCAATTTGCTTTCAGTTTTGTGGTAGCTCTCTTTTCTTTTTCTCCCTTTAATCTTAGAAGCATGTGAGCTACAAGCCATGGGAATCTTTTCCAATCGGCACAGGGATCCAAATCTGTCCAGAGAGATACCTGTATTTCACATGGACTGAATCATCCTGAGGGAGCACAGGAGAGTAGGAGCCTCAGTTAATGCTCTAAACAGGTACATTCAGTCCACCATTTTTATCACATCTACATCTGGAGGTGATTTTCACTTCACCTCCAACACAGAATTTGGCAATTCAGAATTTTGGCAAGCAGAATCATTCATTACAGCATAAGGTAAGAAAATTAATTTCTCATCTCATCCACTTTGGATTTCAAAGCAGTCAATGATGTAAAAGCTTTTGGATAAACATATGGCTTAGAGCAACTTAGCCTTGTTATCACATACCCAACTCAGCCAATAGCCCACTCAAGGAAACATGTTTGCAAGTTTAAAACCAAACAGAATTACTCCACTTGTCCACCCTACAGGTCCTTTAAATCATACACCTCCCTATCAGCCAATATTACTTGACTATGATATTCCAGTGCACTTTCTCTGCACTTTACAGCTGTTAGACTTTATTTCAAGTCTGAGAACACACTTATTTAACACATTATGAATTATCTACGACTTACAATTGGCACTTCTGGGAAAAATCAGAATGGAAAACAGGTTGTTTAAGGAGCTCTTCAGGAAGGTCATTGCTTATAACTGTTCCTTCTAATCTACAGAAGGGCTCTGAAACTTGATCGTCTCAGGTCACCACAGCCTCCCAGTGATGACAAAAGCCTGCTGAATACCGTAATGATCCAAGTAAGCAGATGCACAGGAAGGGTGCATCTTCAAAGTCCTCTTAAGTGAGTACAAGTGAGACAGAGTGTTGTATGCAACAAGGAGACACAAGTCTCTGAATACTGGAAACAGTGGAACCTAGTGGTGTATGGGTTTGTATAGTCATTTGACATTCTAACTCAATTCATATTAAGATTTCGCGTAAACAGAGTGTCATCCAAGAATTCACAGGAGAGAGCAGTTACAAATATCAAAGCTGGAAGACAAATCTTCATAGACTTTCATATCTTTGATAACCCACAGGGGAGAGAACTTCGACCGCAAGTGGCTTAAGTTTAAGATGACAAAAACTTCTGAAGCCTTCTCCACATCTCAGGTATCCATAACGGCTCTCACTTGAGTGAGTCTTCAAGGTATAACAAGATTAAATTTATGCCACAATCTTATGTTCTCACCTCTGCCTGGCCAACTGACCTCCCACACATTCTTGTGAGAGTTGGGCCACTGGGATTCCTGCTTTTCCATTACCATTGATTGCGTTCAGAAGCCAATGGTCAAAAGCAAAGTGGGATTAAGTACCTCCATATTATTTCCATAGAAAGCAGGCCACAAATAAGGAACAGGAGACATTCATCCATACACATCCAAGTGAAAAACTAATGATCCAGCAGCAATTCTAGGTTACCCCATTCTGTACTATTGCTGCACTGCTGTCTACTGGATGAAGCAAGGCAAAAGGATCCTTGCAGGTTAGACAATCCAGTAAGCAGAGCTTTAAAACAGAAAAAACAGGAGAAAGTGATTCCTGAACAAGTAAGGAAGATGTGAAAGGCAAGCCAAGGGCCTGAGTGGTAACAATGAAAGAGACACAGCAATCCACAAAACAGAGCTGAATTAGATTCTCTCCAAGCATAGCCATGTAAAGGAGGAAGTGCCTGCAGAACAGCCTCATGGAGAAAGCTCTCAAACCTGTACTGAGAAATCAGCACACTTGGGTGCCTGCCTGAACTGCCTCTACACTGATGCACACAACATGGGAACACAGAGGAGTTTGAAGTCTGTGTGCAGTTTCTGGACTATGACCTCATTGGGATAATGGAGACATGGTAGGATAGCTCACAGACAGATAAAGGCTGTTTAATAAGGACACACTGGCAAGCAGAAGAGGTGAGCTGTCTTTTATGTGAAAGAACAGCTGGAATTTGTGGAGTTCTGTCTTGGGACAGTTCAGGAGATGGTCAATAGCTCACAGGTTAAGATTAACAGGCAGGCCAGCATGAGTACTACTGTAGTGGTATATATACTACTATGTGCTATAGAGCACGTAGTAGTAGTGTACTATATGTAGTAGTACATGCTTTGGACTTCCTAATTTGAAGAAGTACATGATGCCTTCTTCAGACAACTGGAAGAATACTCATGTTCACTGGTCATACTCCTGACAGTGAAAATTCTAGCCTCTGTGATGTCTTCTCTGTGGAAGGATGATGTAATCTAGGGCTTAAGCAATCTAGAATTCTACAGTGCCTTGATAACTGCCCAAGGTGATCACAGAGCCAGAGAAAGAAAGGTGCCGTGGCTGATCCGGTATGTACAAACAACAAAGAACTGGCTGGGCACGTGGAAGCTGCTGGCAGCCTTGGCTGAAGTTTGGTTGTAGACAAGTCAGCAGTAGTGTCCCCTCAATATTCTAATAAACAACAGAACAAGTTCCTTGAGATTCAATGTTCAACAAAGAGCTACAGCAATATTTATTCTGTTTCTGAAGTTTCCAGAGAGAAGCTGAAAGAATCAAAAAAGCTAAGTAGCGTTCTGTGCAAAACATATATTAAGAAATACCTTTCAATAATCCAACACTCTGGAAATACAAAACCACCAATCAGTAAACCAGCTATCTATGTCAACCATTAACAACAGCCATAGAGTGTAAAGTGCCATACTTTTGGCTTGTACCACTGTGGCTACAAAGCCTAATGCACAAAAGCCAAAGGCTACTCCAACTAGAAGGGAAGGAAGGAGCACTTCATGAAAGCAGATTTGAAATTTGAGTTGATACTTCTACTGTAGTAACAATGGTGCTACCAAATAACACTGGAGGATTTTTATTTCCTAGCACTATACATAGAAAAAAATGTTATCTATAAGCCAGTCACTTTTTGAAAAAAGGCGCTATCAGCATTTGAAGGAAGATACGTGAAATTTTTAAAATACAAAAAAAAGTTTAAACATGTTTTTTACTGGGGTAGAATGAAATGGAACATACACTGGTACAGCTGCTTATACTATACCAACTTTTCCTTGTGACCTTTTAAACATACTACAGAATGAAGAATGGAGTTTTCCATCAACTGATGCATAACAGAAAATGGAATGCTGGCAGTGCTTATTTTATCTAATTTAATTGTGGTTAAGCAATACATGGTTTTGAATATATATGCTATATATATTTTTTTTTCATTCAAACATAAGGTATTTCAAATCTCACATCATCTTAAAAGGAAGCAAACTTACAGAGCAACACATACCTGTTATACCCTGAGACTCTTTCTGTAGATCACAGTACCACAGTCTGTTCACTGGATCACAGCCTTCTCTGACAGACAGCAAGACATATCGACCATCATCCGACACCTGTAAGAAGTTACAGAAAAATTAAAGACAATTCACCCGCTGGAAGAAAGAAGTCCAACTTGAAAAGTGAGTTCACACATGCAGAAAAATCTAGTGCTGCTGTTAAACAAACATTACAAGCTACAACCACATTATAAATGATCTGATAAATCTTCTTGGTTCACTTTTGCACATGCATGTACACACACAACAGAATTTCTGAAATGGTGTCTGCTAGTACAGAAGGTTATCAATCAATCCTTCTTGCTACTCAGGCTTTGCAAACGTCCTACATGTCTTGACAAAGCTTTTGAAAGTGCAAGTCCAACAAGGAAAGGCAAAAAGTAACAAGAAGTCATCAACTCAAAAAGTCTCCTTCTCCTGACTGAGCTGTTATGAGCATATTCCAAAATTACCAAATTTTGATGTTTTATTAACAGAGCTGATAGAGAAGGGCTGTTTAGTGCCCACATTCTTATATGACCATATCTACTGGAAATTTAAACCTCTAGTCACAAAATACAAACATGGGTTCTCGAAATCTTCCACTTGGCACTCACTATACACAGCTTCAAAACAATTCTTATAATGAAATTACTTCTTACATATATTTCAGTTTGTATTTGCAACATTCGTTATGCAAAACACATGTAGAATGAGCTGTGCAAAATAAATTTCAGAAGAACTGGGTTCCAATTATACACCTATTCCAACAGATCCACAATTTCAAAGACAGAAGAAAGGAACCTAGTAGAACAGAAACGTATTTCAGTGTATGAAAGTTAACAAAAAAAACCCAACAACCAAACACGCCTCGAAATAAAAACAATCCCCAAATGAGTATTTCCAAATCATATTTTTACAGGCATTTTGTTAAGAGCAAATTATACCACAAAAAAAGTCCATACAGCTGAAAGCTTACAAGCTAAATAGAAAAGAACACCTAAGATTCCTACTGTAGCCAAAAAACACTCCATTATATGAAACAGCAAAGACATCTTTAACAGGGCAGCCTGCAAAATTGAGATATTCTGCCTTCTCCTTCCTAGAACCAAGTATATTCAGCAATGGAAATCAAGACTAGGTGATCTTTCTTGAAAGACACATCTTCAGTGGTTTTAGATAAGCAATAATTGCAGGTGTAAATTTTAATTAAGAAAATGATTGCCATATGCTGCTTAAACATCTGTCCATACTTGTGAAAGCACCCAGCTCCCTTCACTTCCTCACCTACTGAAAAAACTTAACAAATAATTTTAAGTTGTATATAAAAATACTGATTTCAGTTGAACTCAAGAGTATGACACACAAAAACTCTTTTAGTCACAGTCAGAACCCACATAAATTTATTCTTTGATTCTCTGAATAAAACTGTTAGGAGAGGACTAATAACTTTACCCAAGAAAGAACAGAGATTTGCAAATTTCTGATGTTGTTGCAAGGGCAATTCAGAATATCTGATGACAGCAAATCTGAGTACATCTAATTTTTCCTTCCATATACCCAGCTGGACTAGTTAAAGAGTTGATAGCAGTTTATGTTTAACTTGAAGTAAGAATTCCCAAAGCATCTTGCTGGTGGGATACCAATTACGTGTCTCTATCACTAAAACTATTCTTATACCAGTGAGTTCTACAACCCAAAAGAATTTGACAGAAACAGGACAGGATGGTTGACTGCAGCATACCAAAATGTTCCGTATTATACTGCAGATTTAGACATCCATATCGCAAAGTTACAGTTTGATAAGCAATCCTGGCAGCAGCATCAGCTTATGCAGTCTCTAGCCCTTCATACTGCTGTAGTTGCTTGTGTCCATGCAAGTTCATTGCCCATGTTGTGCCAGTACAAGCATCCAGCATTTGTTAAGTAAACCAGTTCAGGGAACTGATCCAACAGAAAAAATTGCATTTTAAAATAAAAACCAAAAATTTAAACCTCTGATAAACAGAAAAGAAGAAAGAATCCAGAGGAAACAAAACATCCAAACAAACAAAACAAAGAATCCAGGAGGGGAAGGGGAAAGAAAAAAACTTAAACAATCCACAATTAAAAAAGAAGAATAGAAGAAGCCCCTCTGCCAGATTAGTATCTCAATCAGTTCACTGCTCAGTTGCACAAATGGCCAAGCTAACACACAGCAGCAAACAGCTGGAAACATGAATAACAGGGGCAGAGATTGCTCAAGGCAGCTCAGACTGCAGCACTGAAGAATGTGTAATCACAGCCCAAATGCCACTGACCCTACACTGCAAACAGGCAAGAGTCAGGGTTTCAGGATGGCAAAAGGAAATAGGACTTATCAACTATCATTTGAATTACTCTTACACTGCTACATCATTTTCCTGAGTTGAGCTGCAATTCCTGCTCTTGGCTCACAAATATATGAACTGAAATTTCTTACTAGTACCTCACTCAATATCAGAATGCATTCATGGTTCAGCATAACAGGGACAGCTGCAACATCAGACCTGGTTTCCCACATTTAAGATGAAAAGGAAACATATCTCAAGAATTTCTGAGAGAGATCTGGAATGCCAGTCAATGCACATTTCCCTCATTAACATAATTACCATAATTTCAAATAACACACACTGGTAAAAGGTAAGCAGGCGATAAAGCAATTGCACTATTTCAAAGAGCTGATGTTGGTATGTAGGTTTTAGTTTCATTACTACTGTCATTCAGTCAGTTGGCAATTTTGAGTTTGTTAGATCTACTATTTCTTAAATATTTCTTGTGACCAACATTACACTTTACAAACATACACAACAGTATCACTAAGATAGCTGTAGTCCCAACTACTATTTTATATAGGCTGTCAAGCATCAAAACCTTCAAATCCTCATTTACAGTAGCATTTTGGTTTATAGTGGAGTGTTTTCTCTGAGTTGTTTTTTTTTGCCTAGCAATTTTGCTTCAGTGTTACGTGTTCTCTCCATTTTGATGAACAGAAACCACTGCTAAGACAAACTTTAAGACAAGAAGCGGTTTACCCGTAACTTTACTGTAATAAACACCAAAATAAGAAAAATTATTTGGAAGTCTAATTAGAAAAAGAATCTTCTAACCACTCAAATCTCATCTTTTGTTACAAAATACAACTAATTCATTATACAAGCCATATAAGGAACTGCAAAAGGCTTATGAGGAGCCACAGAAAAAACAAAATGAAACATTTTGTCTAGCAGCAGCAGCAGCAGATTTCAGACCAAAAATTCATACATAATTGTACAAACAACGACAAAAAAGAATGAACACAAGAAAGCTGTTGGGTTTTTAGACTTCCTGGTTTTATGTATCGCTCAACTAAAATGTCAATATGAGAGATATTAGAGTGCCCTACTTTTAAGTCATGTGCATGCCAACAGTAAATATTAATGCAAGTTTTGTGGATGTTACCTGGACAGTCACCACTGCCAGACTGAGGATACAGAAGAGCTCTCTATACTTAATTCACAAGTAGGGGCCCTTAGATAATGTTATATTCTATTAAGGCAATTATTATTGCTTTATAATTATACACGTCATTCCTTTATAGATAATAAGTGCAAAAGTTTTAATACCTTTGCCCTTTTTTATAATCAAGGTGGAAAAAACCTAATAACTGCATAATCTGTTTCTGTGTAACAAGGTACTAAAAATAAAATAAATAAAATTCAATTATTTAAACAAACACTATGCCTGTGTTGAGAAAAAGATAAACTCTCTTCTTAACAGCAGGCATTAACATTCTGGTAATCTACAATCTGATTTGCATCTGCAGTTATTTCACAAACTACTGCTCTTCATGCACTGGTACCCTTTGCATATGAAACTGAGCAATTGTCATTGCTATCTAATGCATTTCCAATGAAGCACAGCAAATGAATCACATACAAAAAAAAAAAAAGAAATAAAAATTAAAGTTCACAAAAATCACAGACAGAATCAAAGCTTTCCAACAGAGCTAAAAGGTCAAATTACTAACTGTAACGTATCCAGCCATGAAAGATCAGATCATCCAGAAAAAGAAAGATGTGTGGCAATAAAGATGTAACCATGCAACACATGGAATTAAGAACTAGGAACTAAAAACTCATTGCATCAATAAGCTGGATTTTCACACTGCTACAATTTTCACTATATGCTATGGATGTAACAGCTTAAAACCACCTAGAGTAACTGAATATATTTTTTTTAAAAAATACTTATTTAGGAACGTACCCAGTCACCACAGTAAAACAGATTCATGACAGCAATTACTTCCTTAACTTTAGATATATACTGCACAAAGACTTTTATGTAACACCACTGACCCTGGATATGACCCCACTAAGAAGAATTTACATGCAAGAAACCTTTCACTTGATGTAGAAATTACCTCTTTTGTTGTTTATGAGTATTTTTAAGCTTTCTATCAGATGAACAAAGAAAAAATATTAAGAACAAATACCCACAAAGCATGTGGGTTCTACAGAGAAAAAATAAAATTACCGTAAAATCTGCTGAAACATTTGGCAAGTAAAGAGTAATTACACTGTGTGAACAGCCTCAAGTGTTCTACTATCACAGATGTGCACATGCACCAGTGCTGCAAAGATCTGCCTGCATGATGACAAAGAACCCCCACAGTTGTCTCCTAGCCTTTCAAATTCCACTTTTATTATCTCACTTTTTATTAGAAAAATTAAAGCTATTTTCTTTCCTAGAATAGGAAACCCTTTTGTAAAGGGTTGTGGGTTTTTGTGGGGGTTGTGGGGTGTGGTACTGGTTTGTTGTCTTTTCAATAAAGGAAACTGATAGCTATATTCTGATATTATCATTGCAGTGGTGCCAGAAAGTCACTGAAGCTTGCAAATAGCTCCTATCACATTTTATGTTCTCACAGTATTCTGAGATGTTGAGGATGGGGCACGAACTCCCTCTCACAAATCAACCTCTTGGGAGCTTTCTGTCTGCACAACCCAAGCCACCTGAAGCTGCTGCTCTCAGGCTATAAAGGTGTTGTTTTGTTTTCTGTTTGCAGAGTACTGGTTTCAGAATCAACCAGATTTCATCATCAACCTAATGATGGGTGATCACAGGAATGCGTAATTTCAGGATGAGGTCAAATATAATCCCCTTCCTACATTCTGAGGTGCAGGCCTGACACACTTTATGCAGGATGTGGACACAGTTATATGCAAACAACATTCTGATGTGCTCTATCCACACACTCACCAGGTTAGAAAACCTGCTCTGGGCATTCATTCAAATCCCTTATTCCAGCTGGGTTTTTATTCTTGGATTTTAGATACAATGTGCTGAGATAAAGAGCACTTCTATTCTGACCATATACTTTTGAGCCTCTGGTAACTTTGGGGTTGAGAGAGCTTACCAAAGCCAGAGAAAAGGGATTTTGACCCTAGAATATTGTGCTTATGACTATTACAATTCCAACAGAACACCAGGCAGCCTTGCTCTAAAGAGAAACACAGCAATATGTACACACATATTTACATGCATTCTCTTTCCTAAGTCTAGCACAGAATAAAATCAGTAGCTTTCTGGGGTAACAGTAAAATTCTCTGGGCCTACTGCCAGAGCTGCAGGAAGATATTAATACTAGGCTTCTATTCAAGATTCATTCTCGACTAAGACAGTGTAAGGCTTTAGAAAAATTTGCACAGCCCTGTTTTACCCAGCAGCATGTGTCTCACTAGAGCAAAATGACAATGTTTTCAGCCCTTCCCCTCCATGCTGCTCACTTTCCCCTTGTGGATGCTTCTGCACTGCTGCAGTGAAAACACTATAGCCAGCACACATCTGGCACAGCCTACTTCTCTGTGCTCTGAATTTCACGGGCAAGATCATCCCCCTGGTTTAGAACCATTGATATTAACTGACAGCTCTAAATATAAAATTAAGAATTAAAAAAAAATAAATTGTCAATTCAGAGACAGTGCACAGTGATTGTTAAAAAACATGAAAAATTGTACTTATTTTACTGCTGGCAGAACTGGGATAGGAGGGTTCTCCTCACCCACTCCTTTCTGTTCCGTTTACTTTCCTGGTGTGGTACCACAGGGACTTCTTGCACTACCAACTGTGAAAGACTGTTACATAACTTATTGTTTAACTTTGAGAATAACAGTCCGTCTGTGAAAGAGAGATATGTTTATTCAGTCTGGAGAAGAAGAAAGAAAATGCTACTTCAACAGAGAAGCATGGGAAGCCCCTGTTTTCCCAGAGGACGTATGACATTTCCAAGGTTTTAAAAATCTTCATACCAGAGTGCCCTCTGCCGGGCTGCTATTCAATTAAATTCTATCCTTGCTCATCACAACTCTCCCACCATTCCAGAATCTGTACCAGAAATGCATATGCTTTTTCTAGACTAATTAAAAGATTTGATAGCCTCTTTTACAAAACTTACATATCTGACTAACAATAAACAATATTTTTCCTCACAAACAATCCATTCAAGTGAAGAGCTGGAAATGCATCTATATTTCTTTGCCAACAGCATTTTCAGCAGCACAGATTTTATTTAAATCAAGCATACTTAGGGCTGGTGTTGAATGTATAATAAGGAAAAGAACCGTGGAGCTATTTGCTTGCATACTGTCTTGTAAATATATTAAGCTGACAAAATTTTATACAATGCTCTTTTGTCCTTATGAATGATCTAGTTTCTGATCATTCAGATCTTGAGAATACAAACCACTCTGACTCCCTACAGTGCACCGGAGGTTATTTTTTATGAAGCATCATGGCAACATTATTAATTTTGCAGTCTCTGAAGGATCTCCTTGTCAGGTGCTTTTCACTTGCAAGCGAACTATTTGTCTTCTTTGACCTTGGTTGCAAGATCTGCAAATTCTGTTCAAACCTAGGTATGAAAGTTCAACTCTTCCCCCCACCGTAGAGAAAGGCTTGGTACTTAAGACTAGAAAACCCACACCATAATTCAACTGTTTTCACTGAAGCTTGGGTAAAACAATCTCTCTAACTAGTGGCACTAGCAAAGCTGTGAAATTAAAACATTTTTTAATTTATGTGACAGGAACACATGAAAGAAAGCATGCATTTTATAACGTGTTGAGCTGTGCAAAGTTGTATTTTAAAATCTATAGCAGCAGCTTAGCACCAAGGAAGTATATTCAGGACAGCACCAAACAGGCATATAATTTGATTTTTGACTAATGGTATCTTAATTTTTCCCCTATTACTTTGTGGTCTTCTGCTTTCTCAAACACTTAGAAAAACTGACCAGAAAACTTGTTGGAATAGGCTGAAAAGAAGACTTTTACCCATTGCCCAAGGATGAAACCACGTTTTGCAATTGCACTGTTTTGGTTTGGGTTTTGTTGTTTTGGGTTTTTTTTAATTGCAGAATATTTTTCTCCTGACCATCAAAAAACATTTTTTAATCAGTATCACTACAGCAGAGCCATGTGTTACAGCTGGAGCTCACAGCACAACCTCAGAATACTAACTGTTTTAAAGTATTCTCACTTAGAAAAGTTAATCATTATTTGCAGAGGTGAATTACTGTATTTCCACTCCTCCCTAAAATAGCCTTTCTTCCTAAATACCAGTATCTCTGGAAGTTTATTATGTCTCCTAGAGGTCCATGAAAACCAACATAAGCAGCCCTACCCATCCTGTAACATCAATTTATTAAACAAAACCCCACATTAGGAAGGTGTTTCTCTATGCACTGTCCTTCCCACTTCCACAATAGTATTGGGGCTGTTCAACACCAGTGGTTTCAGAACTCAGCTCTGCTACATTCCTTTAACCCCCTGTTCTAAAGCAAAAGTCTAATTAATCAGACTGCAACATGAAACATGAATTTGCCTTCACAACATGTGTAGTTGAGCACATGATACAGAAAAGGAGTACTAATACTACTACTACTCCTACTAATAATAAGCATCACTAATGTTAATAAGGGGTACATCATTACAGAACATTTGTCACCAAAAAAACCCCTTTATTTATGGAACTAGGGAAAAATAAGCATAACAGTGTCCAAATTCCATTTTATTGCCACTTAAACCCAAACTGACTGGTTTTTGAACCGTTAAAAAAACCTCAAGTCCCATTTGCAAGCTTACATTGATATTCAGGCCAGTTGCTAAAAAATGTTTCATGAATACATGAGATTGTGTAAATGAGGTTGTGGTTATTTGCAGAACCTACAGATTAAGTCTGATTTGTTAGAGAAAGCACAGTGTCACTTTGCTGGGAAGCTCTTCATATTCTCACTTACTGTCTCATTTTAAATCCCACTGTTCAAATTCTTTGAAAGAACCTTTGTTTTCTGGCAACCTACAGTAAAGACACCCCTAACATTTTGATGGGTTCATGTGTTGGAAAGTGATACAAACTGATGATCACATTTTTCAAAAGAGGTTATCACAGAGAAAAGTATGTAGGAACTGAGTACTCCAAACCAGGCTAAAAACACTTAATATTCTTCAAAAGTGTCAGACAAAATAGAGACTATAGAAACAAAATGTCTTATCAAACATAGTAGGCAAGAGAGTACAGAGTATTAGAAGTATTCGTCCACAAGAAAAACGTCAGCTCCCTGATAAATGGAATGACCATCACTTCAAAACAGTGCACTCAACTCCACATCACTAAATTTAATATGGGGAATAAAATACATTAATTAGGTTTACTGGGATTTCGCACTATATAGTAGTAGTTCAACAAAATAAACTTAGGAAATTAATTCCATTTCCAATAACACAGTCTGTACCATATGTGTGCTGATAAAACTTGCTGTAGGGAAACTTAAGAGTTCTCCAATTACACACACAGTATTAACGTATTTTGACCTGTGTATTTCCATTCCTCAATTAAGAAGAACAAATATATTTATTTTTCAGGGAAGACATTGCAAAATTAAATATAACCAAATAAATACGTGGCAGGGAATATCCAGACATGCTGACTATTAGAATAAGGTTTTTGCACAGGAATTAGAAGCTGGGGCTAAACACTAACCAATAAGAAACAAGAACAGTGACCCATTATCCATCAAATGATGTTCTCTGTCTCGGAATGTGTATCAGGCAGAATGATCTCAGTGAAAAAGAGTTTTTGATTGTGTCATTGCAGGCTGGAGGAATGATTTAAAGCAAATTAGGCAGTCTTATTTTCAGAAATTCCTAATCAATGATTCTTAGTTCAATTGTCAACTCTACAACACTAATAAGAAGTGTTCTTTTAACAACATGTTTTAAAAATAATATCTGCTATTAGTTGTTAAAATATAAAACACAGATCATGACAGTGATATGGTGCAGGATGTTTACCATACCTCAGCTCCACCCATCCATTTTGGTTCATCAGGAAATTCAGCACATAGGATATCTTCTGACTGGTTAGTTCCTAATACATGATAATGCAGCTTTTGATGCAGATTAGTGGAGGTCTCAGTGCCTAGTGAAATGCAGATATTTAAACCAGCAAGTTCTCAAAGAAATGCAACAATCATATGGAACCCTTAGAAACTTCTGTATCCCTTTATATACAAAAGAGAAATTCAGAGTAGAGAACTTCTCTTCTGAAATGGTTCCAAGTTACAACCATTCCCCTCCAAACAAACACTCCCCTACAAAAACAAGATAAAACTTCACGCTGGAAACCTGTTTAAACAGGAACCCTTTCCTTTTATTGTTGATAATACCTTCTTGAAATTTGAAGGTTTATCATTTCAAGCTTTGTTTTTTAGAAATAAGAGCAAACGAAGCGAAAAAAACCAAGAATCCCTGCCACCCTCCATTGAAACTTTCATTTCTATTTCACCCAGAGCAACTAAGGGGAGGTTTACTGCTAATTAACATTTCTAGAAACCTTCATACTTGCACTTGCTGAAAATATAAAAGTGATGTATTTTAAAGCACTGCATGAGGTGCCACTTGATTAATTTTTTTAAAAAAATTTCATTCTTGCAATATTTTCCAAGGCTGGAATCTATCTTGCAAGTCTGGCAAAATTATAGGCTTCAAAAGAAAATACAGAGGCAAAATTCAGGCTCTCTCCAGTTTAACAAAGAGCACATCTCCAGAAGAAATTTTTCAGTAGCTCTGCTTTATAAAAAAAGCTGCTAAATTCCTTCCCCAGTGATATTCCTCTGCAAGTCTTTCCACTTTGTGTGGTGCTCCTTGAATTTTGCTAGCATAAACATTTCGTTTTGCTTTGCTGGGAACCACACATGAATTAATCTGGTTGAACAACAAAAACCTTATGCCTCACATTGCTATTCATGAGGTCCATCTCCAAGAGCAGTTTATCTATGCCCACACAAATGCGTAAGGGGAAAGATCGAAGTAAGTTGCCACCAGACATCAGATTCTAGCCAATACCACAAACAATATGGAACCTAAGTAAATCATCCCAGAGAAAAAGAAAAGGAGCATCAAACTTTTATGAGAAAAAGAAGGGCAGGCAGACAAGAAGCGACTTCCACTAACTGAACATAGGGTTCGGCCATACAAGACATAATTTGATCTCTAATTGCACAACCAATACAGCTACTTATTTCAATAGATTTGTAGAGCTAATTGTTTGTTGCTCCAATTCACTGCAAAAGTGATTTTGCTTCCACATAGCATGCAATTAGAATGGTCATACCTACCATCACTTTTCCCATCTTGTTCCGGGTAGCAGTTATAGAACATGCCTTTTCCATCATGGGTCCATGCCATGCAACTGAATTTAACTCTCTCCAGTGTATCTGGGAGATCCTCAGGACCTTCTACTTTCATAAATTTTATAGTAATCCAATCAGAGCCACTAGAACTCAGGCCATATGCAAAATATTCACCATCTTCACTGAATGCATAACCTAAGAAATCAGAAGCAAAAGAAATGAAGAGAGATCAAATTGAAATACTAGTTAAAGGAAATGTTCACCAAACACTAAGAGAAGGTTTATTTTTTAAAAAACAGTGCAAGACACTACATCTGCTATCACTTGGGATTCACAGGACTTTTCCAGGCTCTGTGACTTCTCAATTCATTCACAGATCCAAGTTTAGACGCAGATACTCAGTAAGTGCATCCATGTTCAGTAATATAACTTATGCCAAACATCTGAATCATAGTTTGAATTGTATTTCTTCTACTGCCCTGAACTTGGCAGGAAGAGCTAGAAAATGAAATGAACACTGGTAGAGAACTTGAGCAAAAATTTTAAGAGAGAAACAGTACCAAAGAAGCTAAGAGTGGCAACCTATGTGTCCTGAAATAGTGTAAATATCACTTAAAAAATGGAGTCACTGAAACCTAGTCCCTTTAAAACCCTGAAAACTGAAGTCACTGGAAAACTTTGCCACTAGCATGAAAATGTTTAACTACCAATATTCTCAGCTAAGACCTGTGATATATATTTCACTTTATCCAAACACTGAGGAATGAAGAGGTTCCACTGTAGTTGATAAAGATCAAATTCATGCTTGCAAATTAAGTCAGGTGAAGAGACTGAATTATCACAGGCCTGTACAGACCTGAAAGCAACAACCAAAAATTGATCTAAGAAAAAGTTGCATTTCACAGACATGATAGTTTTGAGAGGCTGCACTGTGCCACACCAATATATCCTCTCCCATAAGAACATGAGTGGCCATTCTGATTCAGGACACAATTCCATCTAGTTGTCCTCAGGAGCAAGAACAATCATATAATCACGAATGGTTTGGGTTGGAACGGATCTTAAAGATCATCTAGTTCCTACCCTCCTGCTGTAGACTGGGACACCTTCCACCAGACAAAGGTTGCTCAAAGGTCCATCCAACCTGGCCTTGAATACTCTCAGGGATGGGGCATCCACAACTTCTCTGGGCAACCTGTTCCAGTGCCTCGCCACCCTCACAGTAAAGAATTTTTTCATAATATCTAATCTAAACCTATTTCAGTTTAAAACCATTTGCCCATCTCCTATCACTAAATGCCCTTGTAAAAAGTCCCTCTCCAGCTTTCTTGTACGCCCCTCATAGGTACAGGAAAGCTACTACTACAGGAAACTGAACCAAGATAACTGTGGATACAATCTGGATTTAGAAGTATTCTTCTGAAACACCATACAAATCCACATAGGACTATTGTAATTACTTTGATTAAATTTTCAACTTCCTAAGACTGAGACTTACTCAGCAGGAACTGCTGTCTCACTAACCTCGTAAGGCCACAGTGCCATCATCAGAAAGCTTATTTGGATCAAGAAAAACTTTGGCTTCGGCATCCAAGGAGTCTTGTACGTATAAAACTCGCTGATTCTGGAGCCCTGTATTGTAGAAGTGAAAATACCTGAAAGAACACAAGAGGGAAAAATTAAGTAGGAAGAACTCTGATTTTCCGTTAGGCGACTGTATGAGAAACTTGTATGAGGCTGTCATGAAGAGAATAAAAGACAGATGAATTGGTTAGGGAAACACAAGTTTCACAGTAGAGTAGGAGTCATGGAAAGGATGCATCCAAAATATCCTTTAAAAATACATGCTGCATTTTCCACACTGCATTTCAAAGAATTCTAAGTATACTATAAACTCCAAATAACTGTCTATGTTAAACATCTCTGGCAGCTGCAGTATTTCTCTGTTACAAGTACTGGCACAGGTTCCCATCCCTTATGTTCTCAGCTTTGTCATTTACACAGCTGCTTTCAATCCATACTGGGTGACAGACTTATGTTCAAACGAAACAGAACCAAAACTGTTTCAGTGTCCCTACAAATGCATGTTTGAAAAAGTTGCAGGAACAGACAATTACAGTTGTCTTTAGTGAGTGATACTCTTCACATCCTAGAACACTACAGAGCTCAAAGAAATTAACACCTATATTCATAGAACTTTACTACACAACAACATGAGTTAAAAAAAAGAGACAGCAGCTTCACCTGGGGGAACAGAGGAATTTACGGAGCAACATTCAAATCTAAAAATAAGTTAATATATTCCCTAAGACTGACAAATACTTGGGTACAAACATGGGAACTTGGTAAAACCAGCAGGGGAAAATATACTCACAAAGGCCTGGTTAACAATATCAGCTAGTAATATGTTCAAGTAATAACAGTAATGTTCAGCAAGTGCAAAACTGAAAGATTAAAAAATAGAAGAAAAGTAATTTTCTATATATCAGGCATTTTCTTGCCAATTTCATCTTTGCAATGCTGGGCAACAAGCTGGGAAGCAAAGGTCAAGCAATGAGACTGCACCTCCCTGGGCAGCCTTCCTTTCTGCAGACTCTACAGAATAACTCTTCAGACACTGCCCTTTAGCAGCTATTCTTCATCAGAAAACCATAGCTAAATTTAAGAATTTCTGAGTGTCATGAAAAGTTCAGAAAATTCTTCAAACAGAATAGTTCCTCACCCCCCACCTTACTTAGTGTTATTTAACTTGGTAGAGACCTCTTGATTGCCTCAAACACCACAACGTAGGGCTTTTTTGTATTATATTTTAATTGCTCTGATTTAAATCCAACACATGCCAAGAAATAGAGTATCACTCAGGAAGACTAAAAAGACATCTATTAAATTTGAACTACAGTGTCATAAATTACAAGCACATAAGCTCCTGGCACAAATGTTGTTCCTGGAGGACAGTCAGCTGCATAAAATTAAGGATTTGTGTCTCTTATCACTGCCATGAGCACTTCTGCAACATTAAGTCTTAACAGCACTGAAGGTAACAGCACCCAGGCAAGTTTGCACTGCACAGGGAGAATGGGTCAGAGAATCCAGAGCAGCTACTGCCCAGACCTGGTCACCTGCTACATCTGCATGAGCATCACATACAAACTAACAAGTTTTGCCTGACCCACACAATAAAGCATACTTCCCCAGATATGGCACTGTCCTAAATAGCTCCACTGCTTCTGGGCTTAAACCTCCCACCTCTATAAACTGACATGTTTATACACACACATCCACGACAATTAGAATCCACATTAAATCCACCAACAGCTTGGGCTCACTCCCCATCATATACTTTCACCAAACCCCACAGAGTACATACCTTCCCTCCCTTAGCAGGAAGTATCAGTGCCTTTCTCACAGCACCAGATCCCTAAGACAAATCCCTCTCAATATCTGTGTAGAAATCTTAAGGCAACAAGATACCCTCTCTACCTCATCATCTGTGGATAATGCTGAACACATACATGGCATATTTGGGAGCCCACTCAACAAGGATCAAACAAATTGAAAATACTGAAAAAGATTATCTGTGTTTCCCATGATTATGAGTGGCTGGTTATTTGAACTACCTCTTTTTCAACTGCTAAAACAATCTTTAAATGTAATTAAATCCCCTTACTCCCTTTCTCTAGATGCATGCTAGTGTTTCTAAAAGAGGTCACATTAAATTCAGTGGCAGCTGCAGTCTCCAGACCTTGGGTAAGACACAGAAACACCATCTCTTCACCTAGCCACAGAATTAAAACAGGGATATGAATAGGTTAGGCACTGTAATATACCACGATTTCGTAGTTTCTAAGAAAACAGATTTTTTTCCATCAGTTGCTTTAAGTCCTCCAAATTATTTTTCCCATATACCCTGCAGCTACAGAACAGTTTTTCACAGGGGAATTCCTACTGCTTTTCACTGACTATGACTGAACCAAAAAACCCTACCAGCTGCTCAAAGAAAGACCAATGTAAGAGCAGTATTCTATCTGGGCTTATGCTGTTTTCAGATAACATGCCTGTAACTACACTGACAGTGACCAAGCCTTTCTGAAAGGAACCCTCAAAGCTCTATTTTAACAACCATTATTCTACAAAACTGTCTGTGTTCTGATCAACTCACAAATTCTTCTTCTTATAAAAAGAAAAGATAACAAAAGAAGAAGATAATATGATTGGGAGCTGCAGAGAGTGAAGCACCTTGTGCTCAGCATCATACAACCACACATTAACACTGTGTTAAATTTTTTTTTACTTCCCAGCTATAAAGAAATAATTACAAATAGAATTTATAATTTTTTTCCTAATTAGTAATTTTCCTAATTAGTAGTTGCTTCTGACTTGATTCACATTTATCACCACATCCAAAGAAATTCCTCACATACCTTTTTCCTTTCTTGAAGTGGCAGCTGTACTTAGGATAATCATAGAGTTCAGTCATTCGCTCCTTGAACAGTCCTCTGACAGGACACTGCTCGAGAAAGGGTACTGTCAGCTTGTTCTGAGCCTCCACAAATGCCTGAAAGAAAAAATCAATATATAAACTCAAGCAGAAATGCCTATTTTCTACAGAAAACGTTTTCAGAAGCAATGCGTCACAGACACCTTTCCCCCGTATAGATTATGCAGTGTCACACTTGAAAAATCCCACATGCTTATTTGCATTATGCCAGAATTCTTTAATAACATTCAGCTTATATCTTGAATAGTGGTTCTCCAAGACATACACTGGGGTAACCAGCCAAAAGACAAGACAGTCCTTTTTCCTGCCTTTCCCCTTTTAAAAAACCCAACCCAAAACCACAACTACCAAACAAACCCTAAGCAAACAAAAAACCAAACAAACACAAAAAAAACCCAAAAACTAAAGTAGTAACCTCCAAAAGCACACCATGCTTTTAAAATCTCTCATTTTTACCCAAATGACAAGTATTGCCCACAGACTGCACTATTATTTCAGGAGCTAGGAAGAGCTTTAAGATGACACAAAATTTCATGTGCATCATCTGTTCATATCATTAACATAACACACAGAATTAGTCCTAGCCAGTATTTCATGAGAAGCCCAAAGAACTGTTCACAGGTCAGTTCTTAGGAAGAAAATACTAATCTCTGAAAACTTTGGGAAGTCTGCTTTCTTTAAAACACTCCAGCTCCCTGTCACAAACACATAAGGACAGTGATCAAAACCATTACCACTCTAGCTGTTTGTTGCATGCATGGAAAACCTGGTACTCTGTTGGTGTTTCATCATCCCTATTTATAGCACGGTACATTAACATGAAATTAATACCTAAGCATCTTAAGGTGAATCACAGCTGCTAACAAGCAGACATGCAGGCTTTTCTGTCTCTAACATGAAGCAGGTAGGACAGGACACTGTGTATAGCTGTAACTCACAGCCAAATGTTGCAGCTTCAGTGTCACCCTCAGACTGCAAGCCTCTCACCTCCAGCACAAAATCCTGTCCACTCATCTCTTGCTTACATGGTGCTCTTTCCCAGAAAAGGGTTTGAAAGAGCCTATTGTTTCTACCTATCCTGAATCTGTCACAGAGCAATCAATTCAACGCACTGTAACATCTGAGTTACACCTCCATACAGGGTATGACCCATAGGAATAGCAGGGCTACAATCCACATTGCATATTGCACAACTTGTGCTTCACAGATCTTCAGAAAAGCCAGCTGCTATACAGGCAGAATACCTGGCACACACTTACCAGCTGCTATCAGTGTTTAGTCACGTATTAATTCTTCAGGTGAAGAATTAATATGTGCACAGCACATCCCAGTGGTAAGTCATGCAGCCTCCACATTGTATCCCTATAACTGTCCCCGCATCAGATGGTGAAACAACTTATTCAAATCTACCCAAGAATTACGTGTAACTGAACTGGTTTTCTCTCAATGGAAACACATGAACTTCAAAGACCACATACACAAAAATATGGACTGTGGATCCTACACAAATAAACTAACTTTTCCCAGTCCTGAGACATTTTCAGAGAAACGGTGGCTTATAAAAACATGTGTGAGATGATCCAGTGTACTGGATGGTCAAAAGCACTTTCCAGTTACATGTAGGGAACAGAAACTGACACACATCTTTGTTTCAACCATCAATAACATGACCAAAATGACAACATTGCTGCAAGGGTATACTGGAACTGTGTGTTACCCACTTTTAACTGCACAGACGCATCTTACCACATCTGCTTTCATTAGCGATATTCAAGGAAGAATCACAGACTTTTCCTTACAAGCATTTTTCTGCCCAAGAGCATGCTTACAGACTAATTATTACACTCACAATTGAATCACTAGTAATTTTGCTTTTACAGGAATTTAATATATTTTTCTCATTTCCAATCAGTAAGCACCAAAGATTCCAAGATTACTTGTAAAAGGAATGCCACAGCTGTATGAAAAAGAAGCAAGGAATTACAGATTTTTCAAAGAGTTTTGAATACAGTCCAGTTTGGAAACTTTCTGCTTCCACACTTTTGAGCATGAGGTTGCACTTATGTTTGAAAAGCAATACATAATTGAAATATTGCTCTAAGATTAAGTACAGAAACATATATCAGCAGAAACTCTCACAGTAAACAACTCTATCCACCATGCTGAGCTAAACAGATGCTACCCAGGCTAATAGTACAAGGCTAACAGTAACTGTACACCCTTGTGAACCTAGAGAGAAAGATTTTTATTGTACCTGTAGATATTTGCATCTGACAATGTATCATAGGCCTTGAACCAGGACAGACTTTGCTAGCAGAAAAAATAACAGAATAAGGGTCCAAGTAAGGCAACTTCTTCTGGCTGTTTTGGAAAATAAGGTAATTTGAAAAGCAAAACAATTTCTAAAGCATTATACTAAGAGTCGAGATGGTCTACTTGAGGCTGAACTGTCTCACCAGTAAGTAGACCAATTGTTATTCTAAAACAATAGTCAAACTAAATTTCATCTAAGAAACACATGCCACAAATTCTTTTTAACCATGCTTTTTTTACAACCTATCATCTTTCTACATTCTACTAAACTACTCTATCAAGAGAACTATTTCATTGACAGTATATTTTCCAAGAAAAAGCCTCAGAATAGAAACTGTTTTAACATGACTGGTCTTCGTTATTATACTGCAAAGTATTTACAGTCCACACACACACACACACACACACACACATATATATATATATTCAGTCAAGGGTAGTTCAGTGCAACTCCTACAAGAGAGCACATACTTTTCCTAAGTATTACAAAAAAAAATAAATTATCAGAGTTCTTGTGACTTGCCCCAGAGCACTTACTTTTTTAGTGTTTAACAAAAAATATTCAAACTGCAATTGGAAAATTTATCAAAATGTGAACAAAACACTGGTGTATTATAACTACAAATCCATTAAATTGTAGATTTGCGAGTTTCAGTGTCCCAATTCAAATATACACATGTTCAGAATAGTACAACTCAACCCCACATGATCCCTGCTTTTTCAACACTTGTCTATCCCTCATGTCTGGAACAAGCTCACCATTACTGCCTACACTGTCAGTGAGTTAAGGTACTGTATATGACTGACATGGCAGCAAAAGACTTTGCTGTAGTCTGAAAACGAATTTATTTCTCACAAAGTGTTAAACCAAGAAGCTGGAAGTCCAACTAAGCCAAGGCCAAGACAACAGTGAAAGTGTGGTGTTGCAGTTGTGGCCTATATGTCATTACCAGAAATGTTTCAGCAGTGTGGCATGTTTTAGCTATGCTGGGGATGTTTCCTCAATCTGTCTTGGAAGTCAACAGCCAAACAGCAACAGAGCATGAACTCAGATTCTACCCTTCCCCAAAGTGAGACAGGAACTTCCCCACCTGACCAAGAGTTTGCTTTTATTACATTTTTATACATTACCCATCTGGAGAAGGGAGTTTGTTTGCTTATAGCTGTCCTTGACTCCTCCAACTGAGCGCACACAGGGAAAGAAGTTTTTATGTTTCTTTTCAATATGACACAACCACCTTGAGCATTTGAACTGGCCAAGAAAAATGGTTGCAAGATAAGCATGGGTTTCATTTTAAAAATTCTGTGATCTAAGTTACACCAAGTGTTCCAGACTTTCATATAACCATAGAAAAGTTTGGGTAGGAAAAAATCTTGAAGATAATTTAGTTCAATGCCCCTGCCACGAGGTGGGAAATTTGCCAGTAAACCAGGTTGATCAAAGCCCCATGCAATCTCTCCCCCATTAAAACACAGGGACAAAACAACGGCATTGCTGCTGGTACCATGAGATATCACATGAACTACGCCTTCATTCACTATGTAAGTTTTCAAGAAGTACTTGCTGGCACTTCATAATCAGAATACCAATGCATCTGATCTGTGAAAGAGAACCATGTGAAAACAGCCATTCCATGCAAAGAAAGGTTACCTTCGTTTGCTCACTATCGGGATCTTCAAGCCAGCAGTATGGATCGCTGATTTTACATCCATGGTAATCCGACACCTGAATTTATAAAAGACAGTAATTTCATAAAAAACGTGCACTGCACACAAGCAAACTCTGTTCATGAAGGAATGACAGTCAGCACAATGAAGGGCATTTGGGATTTCACAAAAGCACACAGTGCTAAGGAGCAAAGAAAGAGAGAACCAACACAATGCTCCCAAGGTGAGTTACTAGTATTACCATTCTTTGGTGATGGCACCACAGCAGCAAAGTAGTTCTCAGAAAAAAACCACAGAGCACCAGAAAAATGGTGAAATGCACATAAATTCCTTCCACAAGACCGATTAGTAAGCAGAAAAGAAACCCCACCAACCAAACCAAGACCCTTAAGGTTTTCAAGCCAAATTATAAAACCTGATTACTGATGTACCCAAAATATGGTTCATGGTTACACAAATGGAGTAGTTTGGCCCTCCCTACTACTATGGCTGCCCACAAATATGAGCATGTGTATATATATATATATACACACCATAATTTAAAATAAACAACAAACAAACAAAACAAAAAAACCTACAAAAGATTAATCCACATGGTTGAATTTATCTGCTTCCTTCCTCCAGTACACAAAAAATGACTAGATACCTGCTACTAGGGCTTGCACAGTTCAGCCTTTCAGTCAAGTAGGAAAGTAAATAGTTCAGGATGTTTTCCAGCTTTGACTCATACTGGCAAACAGTTTGGTTTAAATGCAATGTAAATTCTTCCTGGCCGGTGCACAATGCACAGTGCTTTGAGGAAGGGAAAGAAAATCGAACAAACCCATTTTAGCCAAACTTATATCGTAATCCCTTGTGTGTCCAGATACGGTGGAGACACAGGGAGACGGGACTGTGTTACAGATGTGCCATCCTGTATAAATAGACTATCTGTTCCTCTGCTGACGCTGCTGCAGCCCGGGCGGAGGCCTGGGTTTCCCTGACACTCGCACCGGTACCGAAGCTCCGGGATGCGCCGTGCGGTCGCTGCTCCCGTACCCCCGGTCCCGCCGCCCGCCCCGGACCGGCTCCCGGCCACAACGGCCCCGCACACGCGGGACGTGCCCGGAGACACCGGTGCAAGGGCCCGAATCCCGCCCTAACAAGCCCCCAGCCGCCGCCGCGGCCGCGATAAACCCGAGGCCCTCTGCACGGAGCACGCCGGGCGTTCCGCGGCCGAACAAAGCCCCGAGAGCCGAGGCGGCGCTCCCGCCCCGAGGCGGCCCCGCG